GGTTATGGTCTTCTAGCATTCCGCCTAAGCTAAGGGTGTTTATTTGGCAAATTTTCAATAGGATCCTTCCAACAACAGAGGCCCTAATTGAGAAAAAGGTGGGGGTCCTCCCGCGGTGTCCGGTGTGCTGGGCAGCAAAGGAGACGATGGAGCATTTATTTTGGGACTGCCCGGTGGCTAGGGCCCTTTGGGACCACTCGGGGCTGGATGATCTGGGTCAGGCTCTGCCGCGCCGCTCCTTTCCTTTTTTCCTCAAAAAGTTGTTGGCTGTTGTGTCCCCGGACCAGTGGTGGGCAGTGGTGGCCCTTTTATGGAGGATCTGGCGATCTAGGAATTGGGTGGTATTCGAGGGCAAGCAATTCGGGATATCGGCGCTCATGCGCCAGTATTATCAGCAGTTTCAGGAATGGGCCCAGCTTCCTACTGATCAGAGCATTCGCCGGGGTGAGAAACCAACGCAACCAATGCAGCCTGGTAATGGTGCAGGAGGTGATATGTTGGTTTGCCAATGGGATGGTGCCACTAAGCATGGATCGCATTCGGCAGGCGGGATGGTCCTCCTCGACCAAGAGGGCCAGCTCATGTTAGCTACAGGGATTCAGTTTGTTGTAGTGGATGATCCTATGGTGGCGGAAGTACTGGTTTTACGGGAGGCGATCCGTTGGTGCTTAGGTATGGGGATATCGGAAGTGCGCTTTGAGGGGGATGCTAAGGTGGTGATTGACAAGCTTCTGCAAGCTGATACCAGGGATAGCAAAATAGGTGCTATTTTGGAGGAGGTCCTGGGATACTTGTCAATGAATAGTGGTTATAGAGTGCGGTTTGTAGGTCGTAGGAACAATCGGGTGGCCCATAGGGTGGCCAGGAAAGCCCTTTTATTGTATCCGACTGCAAGTCGCTGGTTTGATTTCATGGGTTGGCTTTGTGCCACGTTGTAACTTTCTTTGTTATCAATATATCTGATTATCTTTTGTCAAAAAAAAAAAAAAAAGCACTCGACCAGTTCGAACAAGAGAAACCATTGGATCGATGCTGATACGATCCCCAACCTGGATCAAAGCGGCAGCATGACCAGCTCATTGTGTAAGTCTTAAAGTTCACAGCGACCAACACAAGAAAGGACCACAGTAATCGCATTTGGGCAAGACCCGACTGTTGGGTTGCACGATCTAGTCCTCTCGACCTAATGCACTAAGGGACAGACTTGCTCAGTTCGTCTTAGTAGGCATACGACTGAAGTTATATACCGAATCATGCGGCATATAAAGTGCATGGTGAAAACTAGCCTATCCTCAACTGACAACTAATAAATTCCCAAGTAGCAACAGTCACCTTGTGTATAGGGATGACAATTTGAACCCACCTCGCAGGGTTTACTCGATCTGATCCGTGATGGGGTAGTATTACCCAACCCGTAGTAGCGTGGGGCGAGTCATGAGTATCTACTGCTGACTCGCCTTGCCCTGCCCTGTCCCATTCTTTGCCCATTTTACAATGTCTATTCATATTTCCTAGTTTGACTTTTCTTGAACTAGTTAGACTTGATCTTTCAACTAGTTAGACTCAATTACCCATTTTACTATAATATTTTTCATTCACAAAGTTTTTCCCCTTTATTTTATCATAAAAAAGTAAAATTTTACTTGTATATTTTTCAAATAACATGTAAGAGTGGGTCGACCCATCCCGACCTGCCTTGACCCGCGCTTGGTGCAAGGCGGGTATGGCTATCGTGCTGCTCCTAGCTTAGGTTTTGAACTTTAGGATAAATTTTTCCTTTGAATTTCTTTCTAGTATTGATTTTGATTAGCTTAGTTATAACTAGGCTATTAGCAAGAGGTGTCAAAACTAAACCTAACCCGAGTACCCTGTCCACTCAACTCGACCCTAACTCGAATTAACTAAAGTTCAATAACCCCCAAACCACCTGACCCCAATCCAATTGGCCAGAAATTTGATTAACTCAAATCTGATTGACCCGCAACCCGATTAAACCTGAAACCTGATTGACTTGAACCCGACCAACCCTCGATTGACCTCAATAATTACTATATTATGTAATATATAGTGTTTCAAATTAAATTTTTTTGTTCTAAATCCAAGTAAAACCATTTTCATTTTTTGTTGAAAGTTCAAAATATGAAATTGATGTATTTTTAATAATATTACAAAAATTCAAACACGAAGTTCAGTTTAACATTTAGTTTTTAAAAAAATAAAAAATAAAATATTGTTTATGTTTGAATAATAAATATTAAATAAGCACAATACCAATATTGATAATGAATAACTAATAACTGAGATAATGTATAACATTAATAAATTATATATCAAGGTTCAAGAAAGCGCACCTAAGCGGCATGGATTGTGACTAAGCCACCGCCTAGGCTCGCTCAATTATGGCTAGGTGTTTTCCATCTCTCACCATCACGAAACGCTATCAAGTTTAGATATGGAAAGCACGATTTAGAAATCGATACAATAGAAAACAATAGTCTTCATCTCTCTTTCTTTTCTAGGCTTCAGCTACTCCGGTCAGTAAGATACCTCCTCCTGAACTCTAAATACCTTGCAGTTGTCCTAAAAAACCAAAAGAGGATCCAGTCTCCTTGTTCTTCCTTCTCAACTTGTAACTATCAATAATAACATGATTTTCCTTCTTACAATACTTGCAAAATCGAGTACCATGTGCACTTTTAGGGTTCGTTTGGAAGTTAGGAGTCTAGATGAGTGATTCTATGAATGTGTGTATTCTTTACAATCCATCGTTCTTTTGATATAAACTTATCAAGAATGCATGCATTTAAATGAAACTTTAGACTCTCAAATGGTTAGAATCATCCATTTTAGAATCTCTACAAAAAGGTGAGATTCTCTTATTTTACTTTCTTAATTGCTTTTTTGCACACTTAACCTTATTCTTTTTTATATATTTCATATTTGCCCCTCCTTTAATGATTATGTAAAGAGAATTTCAAGGCTATATAAGTCATTTTGGTCATTAAAGTGAGAATACTTATATTTTTCAAAAGTAATAATCACAACTACCAAACAACATATTATTACAATCATCTATTTCTTACAATCACTACACTTAGAATACATACATTGCAAGAATACATATATTCGTAGACTCCCAACTTCCAAACGACCCCTAGTGTTTTCCTTCCCTCTAGACTGTTTAGCCGCTAGAAGAGCAACTAAGTCCACTTGAGACTCCTAACCTGGCCTACTAATCTGCCTCTCATGTTGTATAGCATGGAGGAAAGCAGTTCTCATGGAAGGCAATGGAATCATCATAAGCAAATTTGTCCTAACTCCTTTATAAATCATTCAATCCGGCAATAAAACGAGTTACAAAGTCATTATCTCATTGTTTTTGCACAATGGTCTCACTAATACAAAGAACAACCCTATTTCTCAGTTCACCTCCACATATACATTTAGGAATTTGCATAAATTGAACCAACACTCCCCAATAACCTTTCAATTCTGAGTGAAATTGGTTCACTAACTTGTTACCTTGCTTAAGGGTATAGATGGATGCCTAGAGGTCACTGGCTTAGATGTTACCTGCCTGACCATAACGCTTCCTCATGTCATCCCAAAGGAGCTTAGCTTTATATTGAGAGTTCACTGGGTTGGGATCCAAAGAACCAAGGATCATGAAATAGACTGCAATGTTGCTTTGTTCCGAAGCCTCGTAGCTTTCATCCTGTAGATCCAAATAACCAAGCTTGTTCTTACTCTTCAGGGCAACACATAATGTTTCACTCCAGAGATTATAGTTTCTAATACATGTGAGCTTGATTGGGAAACTCAAGGCCTCGTTAGGGTTTATATAATAAGGGTTTGTGACAGTATTTGAGGGAACTGAAATCATATATAGTCGAGTTGGAGCTCGTAATAGTAGCAGGGTATCAGCTTCAGTCGACATGATCGATGAAGGTAAGAAAGATCAAAGTAGAAGAAAAGAGAGAGCAGGGGAAGAATACATGTATGGTGGGTAAGGTACCCTAGATGCATGAACAGACTCTGATACCATAAGTAATGCAGGTCAGGAATTTGTAAAGGAACCTGCAAAGGATCCTTGGTGGCTCAGAGCCTTATATATACTGTCATCTTCACAAGGAAGAAGACAAAGCTGTACAAAAATTACCACAGGGTAATTACAACAGTAAAAAATAGAAAGAAGAACGATTTACTAATGGTAAAGTAACAAGTGTCTATCTACAGTAAAACCATAACAAAGCCTCAGCACTAACTAGAACGACAATATTTCTACTCAGCTCCTCAATTGCTTATGAGGGAGAAGACGTCGTTTTTTAGGCTATTCTGTGATGGTGTCAACCATGGTTCGAATAGTTCATACAACTACACATATATTTCTCTAATAGCCCAAAAATGTCAAAATTACACAATGCGTAACCTCAACAATAACCAATCCATGTTGGTGGTGATTGCACACCGAGGGGTCATTTGTGGAAAGAGGACAACCACTGTGTCGCTGCAACTGTAGGTGGTGAAGAGAGGCGGCGGGACAACAATGGAGTTGTGGGAACAAATGAGAAAAATGAAAAAGATAGGATTTTAAGAAAACATATAAAATTAATTATTTCACAATAGCTGATGTGATCAATTATTTTGAAATGACGCACATAAAGGTTTCGAAATTTGACGGTCTTACAATCTTTAATTTTGGGAGTCCTTTGCAATTATGACAAACTTCCACAGAATGTGAGATTATACAGAAATTATTCGTATAAATCTTTCATCCGAACGACCCATAATCCAATTAAACCAAATAAGCTAATTCCAAAATACCCACAAAGCCGTGTGGCACATAACACTGAAACATACCTACTATATGTTTCTTCAAATAAACTTAGCTTAGCTGAGACTAGACTGTACAGAAAGAGCATACTATTTCAGTAGACAAACGTAAAAGACCCTCAACGATTAAGTCCTATAGAGTACATAGAAAATGTACAAATCAACAACTATGGTCCATGGGTGGAAGTGGAATCCGTTGGACTTGGCCTGGGGTATAACTGCACCTGCAACGGATTCTTCATCACAACAGTAAACTCCAGCTTCTCCGAGAGATCCACCTCCTCACCTTCCACAGCTTTCCACTCGAAACTCCAAACCAAATTGGCCACAAAATACTCCAAATGCAGCAACGCCAGTCCAAACCCGGGACACATCCGCCTCCCAGCTCCAAACGGCATCATTTTGATCTCCTTGCTTCCCGTCACATCAAACGACGACGTCTCGGTCTCGCCCACGAATCTCTCCGGGTCAAACCTCATTGGATCCTCCCACACTCCCGGGTCCCGACCCATCTCCGCCACCATGAAGTTCACCACCGCCCCCTTGGGCACCAAATACCCGCCGAGCTCCACATCCTCCGTCGCCGCGTGCGGCAGTACGAAATGACCCGGCGGGTGGAGGCGGAGTCCTTCAAGAACAACGGCCTTGAGATAAGGTAACTTAATCAGATCCTCTTCTTTGACCTCTCCTTCTTCCCCTGTTCTTTCTCGATCGCCAATTAGGGATTTGATTTCGTCCAATAACTTGTGCTGGACCTCAGGATGCTTGACCAAATTCGCCATGATCCACTGCAAGGCCGTCGCGGTGGTGTCGGTGCCGGCGTTGAGGAACTCGTTGCAGAGAGTCACCATCTCTGTCTCCGTCAGATTCCGCTTCCCCTCCTCCGGCAGTTCCAGATCTAAGAGTGTGTCTGCGTACGCCAAAACGTGGCCGGCGCCATCTTCTTCCTTGATTTTGCTGCCAGCTCTGCCCTCTTTCAAACTCTTTCTGGCTCGAATTAGAGGGAGCAAGACCTCTTCCTGCCGCCGCCGCAGCCGGAGGAACTCCGACCACCGCTGCCGGAGCAAGATCCGCGTGAGGAAGCTTGGGAAGATGTTGAGAACCTGAAATCTCTGAACGTTGAGGAGCATCTGGCGCTCGACCCGCTCGATCTCCGAGATCTGGTTCTCGCCGAGCTTGTCGCCGAAGCACATGAACACCAGCAGGCAGAACATCGCGTACTGGAAGTGCTCCATGACCCGAACCGGCTGGGCCGATCCGGATTCATGGAGTCGGGTCCTGAGGATGCGGAGCGTCCACTCGCGCGCGTGGGAGTAGGACTTCACCCGCGACGGGTGGAGGATCTCGGAGATCAGGTTTCGGCGGAGGAGGCGCCAGGTGGGCCCGTAAAAGGCGGTGTTGATGTTGTGCTGATTGCTGCCGGTGATTCGAGAGACAGGCTGGGCCGGTGGTCGGTCGGCCAAGACGGCGCCGTTCTGGATCAAAGCTTGATGGGCGAGGGTGCGGTCGGCGATGAAGATGGCGAGGCGATTGCCGAGGCGGAGCGTGACGGCGGGGCCGTGTTTGGCGTGGAGGGAACGGAGGAAGGGCTCCAGGTCGGAGAAGGATTTGGTCAGGTTGCCGATGATTGAGACGACGGAGGGCCCCGGCGGGAGAGATGGTTTTCGTGCCGCGAAAACGCTGATGAGGGATTTGAGGAGAGCTGCAACGGAGAGGGAGACTAGGATAAGGAACCAATAGTCCTCCATATGGCCGACGGCAGTTATCTTCCTTTTCTTGTTTTCTGGAGATTGGAGAAGCAATGATACGTGGTGTTGGTATTAGTGATTAATGATTATAGTGATTACTATATCAGGGGGTCGGATACTATGCTAACCCCTAAAGGGGTAGTGGTTTTTGACACCCTCCTCTTGATTGGTCACTTTTCCATTTAAGCTTTTTACTTTATTTATTGTAATCTTGTAAATTGGGAAAGCCTTAATTGTGATAATAATTATGAATGGGGAAGGAGAAAAACGTTGGTAATTATGAATGGGGAAGGATCTGGGGAAAAACGAAATCACCCCCATTAATTACATAATTAATTTCTCTCACTGGTACATTAATTACACGTACCACTCCACTGGTACACGTACCACTCCACTGGTACATGTACCAGTGGAGTGGTACGTGTACCAGTGGAGTGGTACGTGTAACCATATGTCCTGTTTAGGCTTAAAAAATTGTGAAGACTTTATGTTTATTCACATTCGAAGGATAATTTATTGCTTTTGGCATTGTTGTTGGCATTTCCCTAATTTTGCAACCCATTTTGGAACACCGTTTTTGGCTACTAATGGAAAGTTCCTATTTTCCCCTATTATTGTTTATCATTGTTATGAAAAATATCATTGCACTGGTATTGTTCTCACTCTAACCTACCTTGTGGATTGCTCGCACCAGTGGAGTGGTACGTGTACCATTGGAGTGGTACGTGTACCAGTGGAGTGGTACGTGTACCAGTGGAGTGGTACGTGTACCAGTGGAGTGGTACGTGTACCAGTGGAGTGGTACGTGTACCAGTGGAGTGGTACGTGTAATTAATGTACCAGTGAGAGAAATTAATTATGTAATTAATGGGGGTGATTTCGTTTTTCCCCAGATTCTTTCTCTTTTCCAATGTGGTGAGAGACCCCAAATTACAAGATTAAAAAAAATAAAAAATCAGTTTAATTAATACTTGCCAATGATTGGAAATAAAATTGGCCAATCATAAAGGGGGTGTCAAAAATCACTACCCCTTTAGGGGTAGTCACGCTAACTGATCCCCTATATCAGCATAAGGATTAAGAATGATTTTTTTTAATTATTATACGATTAAAACGGCAATGACTTGTCAGGTCCTCTATCATTGGTCAACAAAAGTCTTCCTTGAATGCAAGGTTGTCAACCCGCGGGTTGACCCGTGGGTTGACCCAATTTGACCCTGACCCGGTGAGAAAAACGGGTCGCAGGCACCCGCCGGGCCAACCGCTACAAGGTACCGGGTTGGAGGTCAAATTTTGTCATTTTTTTTCTTTAGTTTGTGAAATGCGCCTATTTTCCAATTTTTCTTTTCGCCTAACTCAATCTTTGGAATCCTAAATTGAACATGTGAATATTCATGTTATATAAGTGTGTGAATTTTCACTATATGTTGGATATAAGTACGATATGTTATTTTGGTGTAATATTATATGTTATAACTCATATGTTAGATAAGATTTGATATAATTTATGAGGATAAGTACAATATAATGACTTTTTTCATATTTCCGGGTCAAACCGGGCTAAAACGGTTGACCCAATAACCCTTGACCCACTAACTTGACCGGGTCCGGATCAACCCGCGGGTTGACAACCTTGCTTGAATGGGTTCACATTCAGATTTCAGATGTTTTTTATTTGTTTTTGGCAGACTGTAAGTATTAGATTAAAGAGTAGGATAAATAATAAGGGGTGGTTTGGAGAAAAAGATTTGTATTATGGATTTATTGGGTTAATTGCATGGTTGGTCATTGACATTACAAAAAGCATTCATGTTTGGTCACTCGAAATATTTAAATCCATTTTTGGTCACTAACTTTACAAAAACCGTTCATTTATGGTCACTCTCCGTTAGCTGCCGTCCAACGCCGTTAACGGCGGCCGTTAAGTGATGACGTGGCTGACGGATTCGCCTAATCATCCATCACCTTTTAACCCAAAAATTGACTGACCCGGCCCGCCACGTCATTTAAACCCTCCATGTCAGCCAAATCTAACCAAACCAGACCCGACCCCTAAATAAAGAACTGACCCGACCCACCAAATGCAATTGATCAAGTCCCTGCCGGAGAGGCCGTCGAGCTTCTCGCCGGCACGGCAGCCGGAGAGGTTCTGGAAGGACTACGGGTCCCTACCGCCGCTAACATCATCTCCATCCCTCCTTTCCTCCACCCGTTACCTACTTTTAATCCCTCAAATGCAATTGATCAGGTCTCAAGTCAATTGTCGATTCTCAATGAAACCCAGAAATTCCCAAAATTCCAACGGAACCCAGAAATTCCAACGAGAGCATGAAGATGTGGACAACGAGCAGAGAGACCTCGATGGGGAATCATCTCTTCTTTGTCTTTGGCGTGGAATCGTCTCTCTGTTCATCGGGTGATAAGGATCTAGAATCAACAACGCTCTCGCCTGGCTGCAATTCCACACACAGCGCGGCATTCCAATCTACAGCAGCAGCGCCACCCTTATCTTGTTCGTCAACGCCTCAAATTCGGGGCTCAGCCGCGCGAACCCAGCATCCGCCTCTCCCTCACTCGACAGCGTTCATTCAGGTGTACGATTAGCGGGGCGGGGCCGACGACGGTGGCGGTGGTGAGAGGGGAGGAAAGAGGGTGAGAAGAGGATGGTGGAGGCCTGGAATCGGTTGCTATGATGAAGCGGCTGGATGGAGGCTGATGGATTTGTCTTCGATTAGGGTTTTAGTCAAAGGTGGGTAGATTAATTGGTGGGTCGGGTCAGTTCTTTATTTAGGGGCCGGGTCTTGTCTGGTTTGGTTAGGTTTGGCTGACATGGAGGGTTTAAATGACGTGGCGGGTCGGGTCAGTCAATTTTCGGGTTAAAAGGTGATGATTAGGCGAATCCGCCAGCCACGTCATCACTTAACGGACGACGTTAACGGCGTTGGACGGCAGCTAACGGAGAGTGACCATAAATGAACGGTTTTTGTAAAGTTAGTGACCAAAAATGGATTTAAATATTTCGAGTGATCAAACATGAACGCTTTTTGTAATGTTAGTGACCAACCATGCAATTAACCCTGGATTTATTGAATCAATAGATTTCGCAAAATGTTATGTTTTTTTTTCCTACTTTTTGTATCGTGGATTGTAGTTCCAAATCTCTCAAATCTAGAGATATCAAATCTCTTATAATTAACATAGTTAGTAAATACTCCGTTTAATACACGTATATGTACCCGTGCGTGTTCTATCAGTTTAAAATTTTCGTATCCGTATTATTGTTGAGGCGTTTCATTTTTTTCATTCATTTGATGGCTCCCGTACTAAACACGTATAAAACACGTATATCACGTTTAATATCCGTATTTAATGTATTTAGTTGTTAACTTTACTATTATTTGTATATTTATTTAATTTTAAAATAATTAATTTTATATATTTATCTATTAAACGTAACTTTATCTTAAAGACGAAGTAAAATACCCGTACTTATTTTATACGTAACTTTGTCGTACCGTATTTTACTAACTATTTAGTTTGGAGATTTTCTCCCTCCTACTATATCTCTTTTTTTTCCATTTATCCCACTAAATACCCTTACCAATAAATTTTAAATATTTTTCGAGTCAATCTAATTATTTTGGTTAAGGATAAACATGTTATGTAATAAAAAAAATAGAATTTCTTTTTTCATTGGATGTTAACAATCGTAGTTACCAAACAATGAACATTTTCAAATATTTTTTAAACAATCCAGAGAGTTAAAATCTTTGGATTGTCTAGAATCTATAGATTTAGACTCCAATTCTCCAAACAAGCTCAAAGAGTCAGTTTGCTTCGTGGATTTGATAAAACTTGAATTTTGTAAAACCATGGATATATGAAGGTTTTGGGTTTATTATGGACTTGAAAAACACCATTGTTTAAATATTAGACTTCAAAGTCCATGATCAATTCCCAACTAAAGAGGTGGAACTTTCAAATCTGTTGGGTCCACGAATTTGGCCCCTTAAAGGTAGTGAGACCCACAGATTTGTTTCTTCTAAATACATGAAACAAACAATGAATTTTGGACAAAGTCCATAATGGATCACCGAATCAATCAAGCAAATAACCACTAAATACCCTAACATGGCCCCAACTTTGAATAAATAGATTTTAGTCACAACTTACAATAATGACACAAATGGCCTCAAGTTTAAAAATAATATACAACTTTGACCTAGTTCTATATTTGACCGTTAATACTAACAGTCAACTCATTTAACTGTTAATGACTCAGCATGAGTTGCTCACGTGACTGGCACGTGTACAGACTCTACATCACCCAAATAATATTTAGACCAAAATTTATTTATTTATACGAAAATAAGTTACATATATGTGTTTCACAACATTAATCTGTTGTCAATGATGATATAGAGCCGGACACAATTTGTACACGACCCTGACTTCATTCCAATTTTCAACTGCTAACGTATAAGTTGAATTAGTTATATGATAATTATTAAATCAAATAAATTTAAATTTTAATAATTATGGAATACAATATCATAATCAAATCATTCAAATTAATATAATAATTAAATTAATCAAACTAAAATTTAATAGGTTTAACTAATTGGCTAACTAAATTAACCTATATAACATGGAATGTGATGGGATGCAACTGATATAGTTAACTTAAAAGTTAACATAAATACATGCAACTGATATAATTATCTTACAATCAATAAGTGTATTCAGTATTCACCTAACAATAATATACGCCAATGATATGTATTTAATGAATTGATATATTTTTGTGAATTGACTTAGTCTTTTAACAATTATCATAGGTTGAAAAAGACATCTCCTTCCAAGTTTTCATTCAACATAATGTACGAATTTTATCTAAGTTACACTTTCATATGTTGTTGTCTACACTCTACACATACAAATATACAAGAACAACAATGAGCTTTATTTTTTATGAGTCTAAAAGAGAGGAACGTTTGACTCTTGAGTGATTATGAAAAATATTAAGTATGTGTATATATGTTAGGAGTGTGAAACCAAACCAAATCACCTAAACCAAATAAACTAAACAAATTAAGCATATCAAACGAATTATCAAAATTAACCAAACCAAATTATCTAATACTACCAATTTTTCCACGGTAATTAATCAGTCGGTTTCAGCACCCTATCCCTAACTATTTGCATATTTGTTATTGAATAGGTGGGCAATGGCAGAGAGAGCTTTTGAGGAGAGGGGTCCTAGGACCCCACTTACAAAAAAAAATTGAATATCAAAATCTTTTAAATAAATGCGTTTTAGCATGATTCTTAAAATATAGTGACCCTATACTTTTGCTAATACTTCCTCATGTAAGGACCCCAATTAAGTCGAAATTTTTAAGGATCTTAGTCTATTTAAAGTCCAGCTAGGGAGAGCAATAAAGAAGCTCATCAGTTTAACTTGGACTATACTATCACACATCAGCTGCTAGTCCCCTTCCATCTTAGATTGCATACTTCATAGGAGCTGTGAATGTTCGACAGAAGCAAGACGCACCAAATCAGTGCATAACCCCGTCCAATACAAAACAGCGCTTCAAATAAGTCTTAACTTCCAGTGCTGTAGATACCGAACATAGGTTTTACAGACTTTGACACGACAAATCTATACAAGCTAGCATTAGCAACATAAGCAGGGGACCTCATCTTGAATTGAGATCGAATTCCCCAACTTCTCGCCACTCGCCACCTTGGCTTCATTGTCTTTCTCTTCATCATCGTTCAGGAAATCTTCCGACGGCTCCTTGTCATCTCGCTGCATGTTGTTCCCCCACCCGTTCATCATTTCATCCGGGTTCACATTGTGTTCTTGCTCTCCCATGTCGTCACCAATTGAGCCTTGTGAGCCCGCGAGCGCGTTCGCCCTGATTGGGCCTCGACCCATCATTTCTGCATGGGCATGCTAATCAGCCCGAGCTTGCTCTGCCTGGACCGTAGCGGCAGCCATCCGCAGCTGGGCCTATTATGAACCGAATATTCATCCCAACAATGCCTCCCGGTGAGCCTTCTCCCTAGCTTCCATGTCTGCTTTGGTCTCCAGCATCATTCTTTTTTCTTCTTGGAGGAGAGCCTGTTCGATCATCAGCCTCTCTTCGGAACGAAATTCCCCCATGGCTCGCTTGCGAGTGATTATGTTGAAAGCTAGCGCCTGCTTCTCGAACGTACCTGTGAATTCAGCAACTTTTGCAGCAATGTTGTAGTCTGTTAAGGGATCTTGTTAAATTAATTTCTTTCCATTGTACTTAGTGGAGTAGTGGCTAGGTTGTTAGTTGTTACCCTCTTGTGGTTACGTGGGTACATGCTTCTGTTGTAGAGATTGGTATTTAAACCATTCTCTTATTCAATAACAAATCAGGTCTTTCAACCAATTACATGGTATCAGAGCTAGGGCTCCGATCTCCTTAACTCCTTCTCCTAAAAATCCGACTCAAATCCTCAAAATCTTCTCCCTCTATTTTCGTCAATTTCGTTTCCCCTAGCCTGTTACAGACGCAGCTGCATCATCCTCTTCGCCTACACAATCCTCTCATCTCTATTATTCTTCCACAAACATGTCAGGTGAAACTGTGATCAATCTAGATGATGCAAACACCATCATCACGTTAAACCCTGCTTCTCAGCTGCCCACTAAACTTACCGGTGACAATTTCCCTAACTGGAGGGCACAGCTACTCACTCTTCTTCGTGGACTCGACCTTCTCAAATTTTTGGATGGCACTCATCATGCCCCTGCCGACGATGCCGCTGCAGTCGTTCGTCGTCACTGGTTCAGGCAAGATCAATTGCTTCTTCATTCTATACTTGCTTCTATGTCCCCGGGCGTTGCTCCCTATGTCTCTGCATCCACCACATCTCGACAAGCATGGACAATCTTAGAATGTATGTTCGCAAATCAATCGCGCCAGCGCGTCATCAATTTAAAGGAAAAACTTGGCAAAGAAACTCAGGGGAATCGTCCAGTATCTGTTTATCTTCAGGCTCAGCGCACCACAGCCGCCGAACTCGCACTCATCGATTCTCCTGTTTCCGATGAAGATCTAATTCTTCATATTCTGCGTGGTCTTCGTGAGGAGTATGGTCATCTATCTGCCACCATTAGAGCTCGGGACACGCCAATCGCCATTGAAGATCTTCACGATCGGCTTGTTGACTTTGAAGCTGACTTGGCCGTTGTTCGACAACCTGTCCAGGCTCCCACCACGGCTTTCTCATCATTGCGTGGTCGTCAGGCTCACGTCGTAGCATCCCCAACTCCTCCTATTATGGTGTTGATTTCTATTTCCAACGGGAGGACAATTCTCATCAGTCCCGCAACCCCAATTCCCGCAGCCCCAATTCCCCTCGTGCTCCAGCAAACTATGGTCTTAGTTCGGCTGCTCCGTCTCTCCTTGGTCGACCTCGGCTGCAATGTCAATTTTGTGACAAGCCTGGCCATTCGGCCAAAGATTGTTATCGCATCAAAGGCCATCCTCAAGCTCACTACACTGCCGCTAGCACCTCCAATTCGTCCGGCTAGTTGGTCGACTCTGCTGCCACGAATCACATGACACCGGATCTTGGTACTCTCTCTCTCTCTCTCTCTCTATATATATATATATATATATATATATATATATATATATACTGATTACAATGGTTCGGATGAGGTGCTTATCGGTGATGGGTCAGGTCTGGTTATTTCTCACGTTGGCCACTCTCATTTATCTCCGCCTAAGACACGTTTGGATCTACATAATGTTTTGTGTGTCCCTGCTATTAATCTAATCCGATCTCTGTGGAATTCTTTTCTGATTTTTTTGTTGTGAAGGATCTAGTCACGGGGGCGCACCTGCTACGAGGCCAGAATAAAGGTGATCTCTATGAGCTGCCCACGAATTCTCCTCCTGTTCGTCTTGCCTTATCTGCTGCGACCCAGCTCTCTTTTGCAGTTTGGCACAACCGGTTGGGACATCCTCATGCTAAGCTTCTTACTCGAGTGCTGCGTAATCAATCTCTCCTAGTCACCTCTTCGTCTTGTTCTTCTTTGTGTGACTCTTGTTCTCTTCATAAAAGTCGGAAACTGCCTTTCTCAGTTTCGAGTCTGACTAGTTCTCGTCCATTTGATTTGTTATATATGGATGTTTGGGGGCCTTCTCCTAATCTTTCTCATGACAATTACTCATATTATTTAGTCATCGTTGATCATTTTTCTCGTTATTCATAGCTTTACCCTCTTCGCCGTAAATCTGATGTTCATCACGTTTTCACCACTTACAAAACGATGATTGAAAATTATGTTCATACCACAATCCGCCGTGTTTATAGTGATGGTGGTGGCGAATTCCAAAAACTTTGTTCCTTCTTTCAAACCCATTGTATTTCTCACTTGTTAACCCCTCCCCATACACCACAACACAATGGCCTCGCTGAACGTAAGCATCGCCACATTGTCGAGACTGGGCTCACTCTTCTTCACACGACTCACCTTCCCCTTCGGTTTTGGACTCATGCTTTCCAAACTGCTACTTATCTCATCAATCGCCTACCCTCTACTTCCCTCCGTGGCGCCTACCCATTTTATGCTTTATTCAATGAAAATCCAAATGATCTCAAACTACGTGTGTTTGGCTGCTTGTGCTACCCATGGCTCCGTCCCTATTCCTCCCACAAACTTGAACCCCACTCTCGTCGCTGTATTTTCCTGGGCTACTCCCTCTCACAGAGCGCATATCACTGTTATGACCCCATTTCCCACTGCACATTTACCTCCCGTCATGTGCAGTTCGACGAAGGCACCTTTCCTGGTCTTTCCTCTCCTTGCGACCCAGCCTATAATTCCCCTTCCTGGGTTGCTTTTACTATGCCTCCCATTACTATCTACTCCATTTCTCCATCCACCAATCCCTCCATTTCTTCCCCACCTCATTCCTCTCCTGCACCCTGTACTCCGGCACATCGACATCACCTCTCCTCGCCTACAGTTGCGCCTCCCAACGCTTCCTCCTCACAGCAGCAAAATCTGCCTCCACCGCCGGTCAAACCGGTACGTCGCCCTGTCATCCGAAGTCAACAGGGTATCTTCTGCCCCAAGAAGTTATTTATTTCTCAAGTTAGCTCCATGGAGGTTGTGCCTACCTCGGTCAAGCAGGCCCTTGCTGACCCGAGGTGGAATGCGGCCATGCGCGAGGAACTTCGTGCTCTATTGTCCAATAACTCTTGGTCTCTTGTTCCCAGGCCTCTTGGCTTTAATATTGTTGGCTGAAGGTGTGTCTTTCGTATTAAACGTCGACCGAATGGATCTATTGAACGATTCAAAGCCCGGTTGGTGGCACAAGGCTTCTCTCAACGTCCAGGCATCGATTTTCACGACACATATAGTCCTGTTCTTAAACCTGTCACCATCCGTACAGTATTTTCCATTGCTCTCTCTCATCACTGGCCTATCCTACAATTCGACGTCAACAATGCCTTTCTTCAAGGCTCTTTGGCAGAGACAGTTTATATGAAACAACCGCCTGGGTTTTGTAATCCTGCTCATCCCGATCATTTTTGCTGTTTATCTCGGCCTATCTATGGACTTCGCCAAGCCCCCCCTTCATGGTATCTGGCTCTCTCTAGCTTTCTTCTGGCCGAGGGCTTTGTCAAGTCAAAGTCGGATGCTTCGTTGTTTATCTATCATCGAGACTCTATCACTCTTTATTTCTTGGTTTACGTTGATGATCTGCTCCTTACAGGAAATCATGCGCCCACTCTTGCGCAATTTCAGGCTCGTCTTGCAGCTCGGTTCTCTCTTAAATCTCTGGGCCCGGTGAACTACTTTCTTGGCATCGAAGTTGTTCCTACTACTGCTGGATACATCCTCTCTCAACAAAAGTACATACATGACATACTTGGCCGATTCTGCATGAGCAATGCTTAGTCTGCTCCCACTCCATTATCCTCCACCGCCAGGTTGTTACTCGCAGATGGCACGCCACCAGCTGATATTACTCTATACAAAAAGGCCATTGGTTCCTTACAATATTTGCTATGCACTCGTCCGGATATTGCATTCTCCGTCAACAAGCTATATCAATTTATGCATGCTCCTACCCAGCTTCATTGGCAGCATGTCAAACGTCTGTTGCGGTACTTAAAAGGAACCTCGCACCTTGGCCTCCGTCTTGCTTCTACCTCAACTCTGACTTTGGTTGCTTTTGCTGACTTAGATTGGGCTGGTGATCCCAATGATTGTACTTCAACCATGGCGTTTCTTATCTATTATGGTGGTAATCTTATTTCCTGGAAATCTAAGAAACAACGCTCGGTCGCTCGCTCCATCACTGAGGCTGAATATCGTGCTCTAGCTCATGCTACGTCGGAGCTCTTGTGGATTCAGAATCTCCTTCGAGAGCTCCATCAACCGGTGCCGTCTGTCCCGTCCCTCTACTGTGACAACCTCGGAGCCGTCAATTTTTCAGCCAATCCCATCCATCACTCACGCATGAAGCATCTTACCCTTGATTAACTATTTGTTCGCCATCTGGTGCAGTCCAAGCAACTTCATGTCCAGTATGTTCCCACAGCTTACCAGCTCACAGACTCTTTAACAAAGCTGCTGCCCATAGCACGATTTCATCTTCTTCGCTCCAAGATTGGTGTCGTACCTCTCACCATCTTGCGGGGCGTGTTAAGGGATCTTGTTAAATTAATTTCTTTCCATTTAATTATTGTACTTAGTGGAGTAGTGGCTAGGTTGTTAGTTGTTACCCTCTTGTGGTTACGTGGGTACATGCTTCTGTTGTAGAGATTGGTATTTAAACCATTCTCTTATTTAATCACAAATCAGGTCATTCAACCAATTACAGTAGTCTCACTGCTGAGATCGAGATGGCATCGTGCCGGTTGAGTCAGAATCAAGGATTCTGT